TAGAAGAAATCCGCTAGGAAAGACATAAAATACGAAAAAAGAAGCGCGACGTGAATCAAATAACGACGTATGTACGGAGCGAGACAAGCGAACAGAAACCGAACCCGCTAGAGATGTATCGAAATAAGAGCCAGACACAGCGAAATAACATAACACAAGCGAACAGTACCAGTAAAAAGTCTCGGGTAAATAAGCCAGCACCTCATTAAAGTATAGATCAAGCTTAACCGGTCGCGAAACGAAATTGTGAGACCTGCACTCCTCACATGAAGATGTTAAATGTTTTAAATAGCCCAGTCTGAATACCCCATACCTATGGAGGACAAAACAGGCCCAACGGAGCGTATGCGTGGCCAAATGAGGCAAACTACACGACATATTCATGGTAATGAGTTTATCTATGTATGCGTGGGTCAGTCACGTGACCAGAAGCGGACCGTTGCTTAGTTCTGAGTCATTTGCTCGATTTCTAATTAGATTATCCGCATGTTAGAGGTCTAAATCGGCAGTGTAACCAGGGGGCGATACTTGTATCTTTGGCTGAGTTGATACACCAATGAGTGGTTGAAATGTGCCATCCAACTCATCGGAGTGTTAAGGTTTGATAAACTCGTTCACGGGCTGTTTCTCCAGGCGAGATAGCCAAGTGGTCTACGGCGCACGGTTCAGGTCCGTGTCTCTTCGGGGGCGTGGGTTCGAATCCCACTCTCGTCATAACCTTTTTGATCCCTTTTACGCTGCGGGAGGACGCCATGGTCGCACTACATACACTGGCTCACAAAAGTAATGCAGCACGTGACTGCTTCGGTTTGCAGCCGCCATAGCTCACCAACCGAAGCAGATGTGCCTTAAACGCACTAGCATAATATGTACATAAGAGGCCCATATACATGAGTACAAATTTTTAGAAAGATCCAATTGCTGCAAGTGGAGGAGCGAGCCGTTACAGCACGTCTCACGATTCCTGCAACTGTGATTTTTCTCATCCGCTTCCGGGCGCTTGTTGGGTGCCGGAGGGTATGTAATCATGGCGGCTAAGAGTGTACATGCTATATCTCTACGAGGGGGAAGCTCCAAGACACATGAGTAACATATTCAGAATCGCGCCGTTACTACGATCAGATTAGTGTAGATATGTCTATGTAAATCGGGATGATAAAATCAGGCGAAAACCGGCTGCTGCTGGAAGGCTGCAAGCGTAGGCGGGGGCTACAGGCGAGTCAAAGGCGCATAGAGGCGCTCGGTTGCATCGAGCGCACCCACACGTGAGACTGAAAGAGAAAATAGCGGGCAGCAGAGTCACTCGGGCCGGGACCTGGCGGCAAACCAACAGCA